CCTGGGTGCCGGCCTGGTATTTCCAAGGGAGGGCCAGGAGAGTTTGCAGACGGGAGCACGAAGCAGGAATCGAGCCGACGCGAGGGGCCGGGAGAGCCACAAACGGGTCTCCAGGTGCACGTCTCAGGTCGGAGACCAGGAGGTCCCTGCCGGCCCGCATGTTGGGGGACGCAGCACCCGCGCAGCGGACGGAGCCAGGCAGCGCCTCCCCTTGGCGACAGTGGAGCCCAGAGCCCTCTCCTCGGGCCAGAGGCGGGCAGCGGCCCTCCGCCCGCAGCAGGCCGACCCCAACGCGGGTCCCAGCCTCCTGCCCTTCTCCGCCCGCTTCCCGCGGGTGGGGAGAGCCCCGGCCCAGGGAGGAAGCAAGACTGGAGAACGCCAGAAGAGGAGGACCTCCCTGGGCGCAGAGGGGGCGCACGGACTTGACACTGTCGTCCCAGGGTACTTCCCAGGAAGCGGACCGGAGTCTCCCCGTGGAATGGGCCCTGAGGAAAGTAAGCCAGAGGTCTGGGAGCCTCCCTGAAAACAGCCGAGTTCACCTACGGAGACGAGAACCGCCTGTCACCCTGCAGAGCCCAGCGCCTCTCAAGCTCATGGAGACCTGGGCCAACTGGGTCCCTTCCCCTCCGCGCAGAGCGGCCTCAGAGCGAGCATCCTGCTGGGGGAGCTGCGCCTCAGTGGCTGGGATGACAGGCGTGGCCAGTGCACCCCGCTCTGCTGGTGGCACTCCGAGGGTGGGGACGTGAACTCCAGCCTGCGCAGGTGCAGCAGCGTTCCAGACCGAGGCTGGGAGAAAGGAGACCGGGAGGACGGGAGACCGGAGACCGGAGACCGGGGGGGGGGGGGGGGGGGGGGACGGGAGCTGGGGGCGGAGCCAGACTCCCAGCCTGGGCGGCGGCCTTGGATACTGATGGGAAAGTGCAAGTGGACGAATGGTTTCCGGTTCCATTTCCCCCTTTTGTGCTGTCCCTGTCCCTCCGCGGTCCAGGCACAGGCCTCCTGGGCTGTGCCCCGCGGTCCCCGCACAGCCCCCCGCAGTGGCGCCTCCCGGATCTCTATTCCACCAGCGGAGCGTGGTTTCTGCTGGGAATGAATTTGGGGGTTTGCTTTGCTTCTTGAGGTGCCTTTTAGCACCTCACATGACTCCCAGCTCCTGAGAGAGGTCGCCGTCGTCCCTTCCAGCCAGGCCCTTTTTGGTCGGGGCGCTCGCTGTCCCGGCCTTCAGCCCCGGGCTGTGGCTCCGCTTCCCCGCTGACCTGCGGCTCTGTGGCTGGAGGCCGGTGCGCTGCCGCTCTGCAGCCCTTCCCTCCCACTCCCCTCCTGTGCGGGGCGGCCACTTTGTACCACCTCCAGTCCTCCAGGGCTCTTTGCTGATTTTTTTTCCATGTTTTTCTCTTTTTAGTTTGGACGATTTTTTTGGACTTTTTAATCTTTTTTTTTTTTTTTTTTTTTTTCACTTTGTCTGTTTAAACCTCCCAGTGGATTCTTTTCAGGTTGTTTTATCCTTTCTCAGTGGTGGGAGGAGCCCAGGGCCTCGTGCTGCTGTCCAGGGCTCTGTCCCTGAGCTGCACCCAGCCCAGTCAGATGTGGTAGTCATAGAATACCTCTCTCCCTCTCTGCTCTGGTCTGTCCCCAACAAAAACTGAGGTTAAATCCAGTGCCCAACATGACAGTGTGAGAGGTGTTGGGGACTCAGACAAGCCACGCAGGAGGCGTGGGCTCCACCCCCCAAAGTGGGTCACTATCCCCAAGAGACCGGCTCAGGCTCCCTGGACTGAGCGGGGTGTCAAGGGATGCCACTGGCCACTACAAGAGTGGCGTTGGACAGCCTTTGCCCCCTTCTGCACACACAGCCACTCTTGTACACACTCGGGCCACCCCGCCATGAGGCCCAGCAGGTGCCACACTGTGCCTCAGGAACTGTGAGCTGGTGCGCCTCATTTCCTCATAGCTCCCCGCCTCAGGCAGCTTGTTCCAGCAGCGCAAGTGGACAGGGCAGGTTCCCCCCACCCCCGCTGTGTGCTCGCAGGTCTGCACCCTGGTTCACACGCCTGGGCCCAGGGGTCTTGGCTGCCCGGCTCTTGGCTCTGGGATCGACTTTCACACAGCCATGACTGTGCCGTGTCCCCAGCAGGGCCACAGCGTGCAGGCAGCCAGCTCTCTTCTCTGGTGGGGAGCTGAGCTCACAGATGAGGGCTGCTCGGCACTCATGGCACCTGAGCTCAGCCCTGGGCCAGGTCTGGACACTGGCCTCTCCTGGAGAGACTCAGGAGCCAGCCCAGCTCACCAGCCAGCGCTGAGCAGGAGTGTCACGTCTCCTGCAGCACGGCCAGCCCACCTGCGCCCAAAGTCAGCGGTGCCCCAGGAGAGTGGCCTCTGCTCCCCAGGAGGCCCTTTCCCCCCTGGAGCTTAGGCCTGTAGACGTGCCTCAGTCCCAAGGGAGTGTGACTTCCTCCCTTCCTCACCTTGGGTGGGGCGGTTTTTCCAGTACTGGGGTTGGGCCCCCGAGGTGCTCCACCACTGAACTGTGCCCCAGCCCTTTTCACCAATTTTTTGAGTGTGTGTGTGTGGGTGTGTTTAGTTGTAGATGGACACAATATCTTTCTTTTACTTATTTTTATGTGGTGCTGAGGATGGAACCCAGGGTCCCCCACGTGCCAGGCGAGCGCTCTGCCGTGAGCCCAGCCGGCCCCTCGCCCCTTACACTTTCGAAGCAGACCTCTAACTCCAGCGTGGGAGGACCTGAGAGGCACAGCCGACTCTCCTCCTGGGAGCAGCCCTTGGGGACCCGATAGCAAGATGCTCCTCTTGTCTCAAGACTGCACTTGGACACATTGTCAGGAAGTTGGGGAAAGCCGAGTGTCGGCACATGATCAGGAACTGGCTGTGGAATTTCTTCAGAGTCTCTATGAATCTGACATCATTTCAAAACAAACTTAAGAACCTGCAAAATGTTAATTAAGAGGAGGAAGAAGAGCGAGAAGGAAAATATGTGGACATGAGGACCGCACCTGTCACCTGCAACCTGGGAGGCCGAGGCAGGAGGACGCCGACTGAGCCAGGCCCAGCGAGTCAGGACTCTGTTTCAACATAAAAAGGGCTGGGGGTGGCTCAGCGCAGGACAGCCCTGGGCTGAGTCCCAGGGTTCCATCGAGAACCTGATTTCTTGAGATGAACGCTGAGACCACAGAGTTTGAACTCTCTTCCCTTTTCTTCGTGTGTGTGTGTGTGTGTGTGTGTGTCTGGGGTGACCCCGGGGCCCTGTGCGGGAAGTGCCCGACCACTGGCCCCACCCACCCTGCGTCTCTCTTCGGTGTCCAGCTCCGGGCTTCCCACAGTCGAGGCATGTTTTCCTCTCAGTTCTCTGCTGGGTCCAATTTTGGTATAATTTCAAGATCTTCAGTGTTGCCCAACTTCTGTATGATTTTGTGCGTAAACCTTTGGGGACTTTCTGGCCACCTTCTGCCTGCTCAGGTCACTGTCTAGGACCGCACTGGAGGTGCCCCTGGCTCGGGTCGGAGCCATGTGCATCAACACAGGTCTCGTGGGTCACACCTGCTGTCCGTGCTGGGCTCAGCGTGGCTCAATGTCCATGGACTTGCTGGGCATGGGGGGGGGGGCGCCACCGTCAACCCTGCAGGCCACCCTGCAGCCTGGGTGGCCACAGCAGGACACAAGGTCAAGGCCAGACTGACAACTTGGCGAGACCCTTCTTCACAAACAAATAAGTAAATAAATAAAAAGGACTGGGGTGCAGTTCAGAGGTGGAGAGGCCCTGGGGCTCCTCCCCAGTGCGCAAGCTTGGGGAGGGGCGGGGCTCACTGGAGAGCGCCTGCCTGGCACCTGTGAGGCACTGTGCTCGGTACTCAGCACTACAAATACAGAAATAAAATAAAAAATTAAATAAAAAACACCAAAAACCTAAAAAATTAATAAAGCTACTTGCATTTAGTGTGATCATTGATGGAGTTGAATTAAACTCTACCATCTTCTTTTTTGACTCTTTTTTTGTAGGAGGATGGACCCACAGGTGTTCTACAGTGTGCTACACCCCCAGCCCTCATTTTGAGACAGGGCCTGAGGCTGGCCTTGAACTTACAATCCTCCTGCCTCAGCCTCCCAAACTTCTGGGATTACAGGCATGTGCCACCATGCCCAGCTAAAAGTTCTTTTTATTTTTCTAAATATTATTTTTTAGGTGTAGATGGACACAACACAATGCATTTTATTTTTATGTGGTGTTGAGGATCGAACCCGGGTCCCGCCCGTGCTAGGGGAGTGCTCTACCCCTGAGCCACAATCCCAGCTCCTAAAAGTTCTTAATTACTGTATTTTCCATTCTAGAATTCTGTTTGTATTCCTACCATTAGTCTCCTTTTTTTTTTTTTTTTGGTCCTGGGGATTGAACTCGGAGGCCCTCACCACTGAGCCCCCCCAGGCCTCGCTGTTGCGGAGGCTGCCTTGAACTCGACCCTCCCACTGCGCCTCTTGTCCACCTCTGCCCGCCTTGAAGACACAAGTTTTCTGATGACTCCAGTTTTGGGGCACGGGGGCCTGTGCCAGGCGGTCTGCATCTTGCTGGGTCCTTGGTGGGGTGCCTCTCTGTTCACGTTTGGCTTGGTGTTCCATGGCTTGGGAGCACCCTCCCCCCACCCTTGCCCAGCGTGGCGTGGCCGTCCCTGCTGCCCAGAGTCCACCATGACAACACACCTGGCCAGGCTCGGCTCCGTCCTCAGGCCCCTGCGACCTCTCCTGCTGGATTTCTTGGGGTCTTGCTGTCCATGGGCATGGGAACCCGCCAAAGGCTTGGGAGCAGCTGCCATGTGGGCCCTCAGGGTGGCCTCTGCAGTTCCCTGCCCCAGGCCCTGTCCCTCCACCCCAGGCGCTAGCCCCGAGTCCCCACCCTGGGCTGCAGAGGCTGATCCTGGGGAGATGCCCTCAGCAAACTCGCTGGGCGAACAGCACCGAGTGGGCAGCAGCACACAGCGGCTCAGGGCAGCTGCGTTTGTTTCCTTTATTTAAAAAAATCATCTGGGGACGTGGTGTGAGGTGGGCACACCTTCCATGGCTTTGGGGAGCACGTGGGTTCCAGGAGGAGTCAGGGATGGGCGCAGGGTGTGGGGTGGTTCACACCCTCCAGAGCCTCTGGGCCAGGCAGTGGGTGGTGCCCTCGGGGCTCCTGCTCCACCTGGCCGCCCGGCCTGCAGCTGGGGCACTGTCCTCAGCACACAGGCTGGAGGCCCTGCTCTGGGCTACAGGGGCCAAACGGTTGGAGGGGCTGGCCCTCCCGTGGGGCTCCTCACCTGGGCTGGGACTGCCCTTCGGGATGGCACAGGAGCCCGAGCCCCCACGGAGTCTACTCCCTGGGATTTGGGTCAGTGCCCTGGAGGAGGGGACACCCAGCAGGCAAGGGGTCACCATAGCCTCAGGTGCACGGCAGGCCAGGCCCAGTGTCCCCAGGGAGCAGACAAGCACAGAGGGAACACAAGACCCAAACCAGTGGCTCTCGAGCTCCCGCACAGGGTCTCTCAGCAGAGAATCGGGGTCCAGGGCACCACAGTGTACAGCTGGACACGCTCGGGCCACGCAACCAGGGCCTGAGGTTGGTGAGCTGCTCAGAGGGCCCTGAGCAGCAGGGACAGTGGCGGAAGCCCAGCCAGGACCTGGCTGACCCTTGGCCCTGGCTGACCTGGGCAGCTCAGACAGCCCTGCTCCCCAAACCTGAGGGACCGTCTCTCAGGGCCCCAGCCCTGGCCTAGCCACTTCCCCAGTGCCTCTACACAAGTGGCCACATGGTCACCTTCTGTGATGCTGAGAAGGGGCAGGGAGTGGACGCATGGCCAAGGGAGGTTGGCTGGGGGCACACTGTGGGGTGGCCTAAGTGTGGACAATGACCTCAGGGGCCTGGCTATCTCCACAGGACAGGTGGTGGCAGGAGGTGGCCTAGGTATAGAAGATGACCTCAGGGCTGGCCCTGGCTGTCCTCCATGGAGAGGACATGGCATAGGGTGGCCTAGTGTAGATGACTTCAGAGCCTGGCTGTCCTCTGTGGACAGGGCGTGGCGTGGGGAGGCCTAGGTGTAGAAGATGACCTCGGGAATCTGGCCGTCCTCCACAGATGTGCCATTGTTGTTCCCGGCCGCGTAGCAAAAGGTGAAGCACGTCTTGGCCCCTGTCGTTGGGGACTCATGGGTCACTTTGCGCAGGCCTTTGGTGCCATAATGGGAGTCGGGACCCTGCAGGGAGTGGGAGGCACAATGGGGTCAGGTCTCCCAGGGCCTCCAAGTGCTGAGGGAGGGGACGCCTGGGTGTGCACAGCATTCAGGACCCATCGGGGCACAGGTGGCCTAGCCCCCACCAGAGGGGTCTTCACCAGGAGGCAGACCCCCGAGGCCCAGAGCCGGAGGCGCTGCTGACCCCGCGGGAGGCGCACCTTGAGCGTGGCGCAGGCCGTGTAGTTGACGTTGGGCAGCACCTCCACGGGCTCCTTGAACATGACGCGGAAGGTGCTGGCCGAGCCGTCACAGCTGAAGCCGGTGTCGTTCTGGCCCAGGACCGTGTTGCTGTCGGTGTGGATGATCTGGGGGCGGGAAGGGGCTGCTCAGCGGCAGGTGGGGCCAGGGAGGAGGGCCCGAAGGCCTCCCACCAAGCACCGTGGGAGGGTCTGGGGCGTGGCCGGCGTGGGCGTGGCCGGCGTGGGCGTGGCCGGCGTGGGCGTGGCCGGCGTGGGCGTGGCCGGCGTGGGCGTGGCCGGCGTGGGCGTGGCCGGCGTGGGCGTGGCCTGCGTGGGCGTGGCCTGCGTGGGCGTGGCCGGCGCGGGACACACCTGGATGTTCACTTGGTAGTCCGTGGGTCCGTGGATGGATCCGTAGAGTCCAAAGCCCACCACGAAGATGCGCTTGTTGACTGAGAACCTGCGGAGGCGACCAGCCCGTCAAAACCCAAGGGAGAACCCCAGCCGGACCCCCCTCCCCCCCCCCCCCTCCCCGCACCTGATGCGGTCGCTGGTCCCGCTGTAGCCCCAGCGGCTCTCCACCTGCTGGAAGCGGTTGATGCTGCACTCCTTGCCCCGCAGGCAGCAGCGCGGCCCGTCGATGAACTCCACGCGGGGCTTGGGGTTCACGGTGAAGTGCAGGAAGAGGCTGACCACCTCACGGTCCACCAGGATGCCCGACTGCGCGGGGCCTAGGGCAGAGGGGCTGGTAGGCAGGCTGCGGCAGGACACCTGCCCTCCTCTCACAGTGGCCGTGCCTGCCTGACTTCCATCCTCGGGGCCATCCCCTCGGGGGGCCACCCCCTCAGGCCCTGGAGTTGGGGCAGGGTAGCGCCCACCTGCTCACTGGGGTGAAAGCTCAGGGGCCTGCCCCATGCCCTGGTCCTGGGACCCACCTCCATTCACAGCGGAGGAGGGGAGGGTCCTGGCCACAGAGGGCTCCCCTACAGCGCCTCTGAGGTGGTCACACTCAGGCTCCCAGCTCCAGGGTGGGCCCTGAAGGCCTGCTCCAAAGAACCTACTCTAATAGGTGATGACCAGTTGTCCTGGGCAGGCCCAGGGCCAGGGAAGAGTCCAGAAGGCCGAAACCCAGATGCCCAGATGTGGCAGGAGAGTGGATAGGTCACACTCGGGGCATGAACAGAAGTGAACATGGACAGGCCTCACTCGTACACGGGTGACCGATTAGATGGCCACACACAGGTAGACACTAGCCAGAGGCCACAGGGTGTAGGCAGGGGCAGGCAGGCGCCAGCTGGAACCTCACAGCCCTACCCTTCTGCAGCCCCCTCCTCCAGGAAAGCGCGGGAGGCCAGACCCATCCAGCCTGGCTGGACGCCGCCCGGGCCCCTCTCCCAGCTCGCTTCACCAGAACCCCTGGTCCACAGCCCCCAGAGTGACGGCCCAATGCTGAGGAGCCCCTGACAACAGGACAGAGGAACTAAGGGCAGGGCCTTTAAACCCCGTGAGGACAGACCTCGGCCAAGCCTGCACCTCGGGACACCAGCAGTCCCCCTGCCACCTGGCACTCCCAAGTGAACCAGTGAGCAGTACATTCCCCCAGGAGGAGGGGGTGGGCAAGCAGCAGGGTGCCTGGTGGTGCCCCAGTCTGCATGGGCAAGAGGCCACCTACTCACTCCAGCCCCAGCCCCTGCACTGCCTCCTGCCCCGCAGAGCCACAATGTCCCTGCCACCACAGGGGAACAAGCTGGGGAGAAGGCTCCTACAACCACCAAGTCACCTGGGGGCTTCACCACTGAGCAGGGCGAGGGGTGGGGTCCTCCCTTCTGAAGGTCAGGGATGCTGCTTTGGCATCCGGGCCACCCTGGTCTAGGATCTGGGGAAAGGGCACTGACCTTGGGGTGGGGGCTGGAATGGGGCCTGGAGACCCTGGTGGTGGCAGCTCTCAGGTGTCTGACCCAGCAGACAGGTGACCCACAGGGTCATTTCTGGGATGAGGGGAAGATCAGGGTTCTGGTTTGGATAGGGGGCGGAGACACAAGGTGGGTCCCAGAGGTATGGCTGGCCCCCAGTGGGCGTGGGGTGCAGGGCAGATGAAAGGACAGGGCTGGCCAGGGATTTAGGATGGGAGGCCACGGTACCTGGGCCGAGGCCAGACTCTGCCCTGCTGGTGCCCATACACACAATGTGCGACCCCCAGGGTGGGGACGCTGAGGTCTTGCCCAAAGCAGTGCCCGGTCCAGCCCACCCTGCTCCCTCCAAAACTGATCTGATGAAGCGGCCTCTGCTGAGCACTCGGGTGGGAGCAGGGCGTGTGGACCTGGTGAGGTGGGGTACAGTGCCACCAGCCGCGGGTGGCCTTCCCAGTGTTCACACGAGGCAGAGGCATGGTTGAGGCTGGCCCCCATTTACCCTCCAGCTGGAGACCCAAAGCCCACCACAAGCACCCGGTGGCCAGTCCTGGCACGCAGTGGGGCCCACCACTTCAGACGGCCTTGCCCCAGACACAGAGGCCTGAGCCGGACCAGAGCCCAAGAGCCCCAGATGTCCGAGCCGCCCTCCCAGGACAGCGCTGCCAGGACGCAGCCAGGACCCAGTGGCAGGGAAGGGCAGCCCTGCAGGCCGCGAGGCCAGGCGGGAACGCGAGGCGGGTGGGCCTGACTGCGGAGGCTGGGGCCCAGCTCTGCGCTGCTTGCATTTCCCAGCTTCCCATGACCCGGGACCCCATGGCCAGCAAGGGAAGCCCCTGGGCTCCTGGTCAGAGCTCTCGGGGGATGAAGAGCAGCCCCGCGAGGGCCGGGGGCCGGTGCCGGCACACGGTTACCTGCGGCAAACTCCTCGATGGTCATCAGGGGGAAGCGGATGAGGCCCAGGGCCTTGCCCAGCACCTTCCGCTTGTTCTCGGGTGTCACCTGCAGCTGTTGCCGCTGACACTCGGCCTCAGACCAGCGGACGACGGCGTTGAACAGCCGCACCTCGCGTATGCCCAGCGTGTCGCGCTCCAGGACGGCCACCAGGGTGTCTGTGGCGGGCAGGAGGGGCCGTGAGCTGGGTGCCCACCCGGCAGCTGGGCTGTGCCCATGGCTGGGGCTCGGGGCTGGGGCTGCGGGGAAACCTGGCCCTGCCCGCACTGGGGGAAAGGCCTGTGGGCACGTGCCACCCCCCCACCCCCTCAGGGCAGCCGAGCACTCAGTAAGGGCCACTTCACCCAGTGGTCCCCAACAGGGAGCACCTGGCCCTCTGGAGGAAAAGTCTGCTGACCCATTAAGTAGATGGGGATCATGTTGACCCCAGGACAAGTGTCCAGTCCTCGCCCAGCCAGCCCTCTGCCCAGCTGCACAGAGCCTGTGGCCACCCTAAAATCCCGTCCCTCCCACGTCCCACGGGCAGCCCGCGGTGCTCACCCAGGTCGATGTCCGTGAAGCCCTCGGCCGTGATGGCGTCCGCCGTGTTCTTGTCGATGCTCTCCAGGCACAGGCTGGCCAGCTGCGGCTCGTCGAACAGGCGCGCCTGGCAACGGGCAGGCGTCACCCTGAGCCCGCGGCACCGCTGAGGCCCAGGCCTGGGGCACGGCTGCTCGGGAGGCAGGGAGTTCGCCTCGAGCCAGGAGTGGGGACCAGCCCGGCAGCGCCCTCTCCAAGCACCTGCTGTGGTTCCAGCTCAGGCCTGGGCAGGGCTCCTCCCTCCGCCTCAGGGCGGCCACCACCCCTCACAGGAACAGAGCTTTGGCAGGTGTGTGGCCCAGGCCAAGGGAGACCCCAGCGAGAGGTCTGAGGACCCCAGCCCTCGGGGCCCAGAGCTGGGACCCACAGAGCAGCACCCTTCAGGCACCCAGTGCCCTCCTGGTGTCCGAGCTCCCTGGGCAGAGCCACCCCCCGCCTTGGCCAGCTGCTCCTCCTCACCCGCCTCCCCACCCACCCTGGCTCCCCGCGGTGCTGGGTGCTGGGCGGGTTCCCCCTTGTGGCCGGCCGGCCCCTCCCCTCTGTGCCCCCTCCCCTCTGTGCCCCTCCCCTCACCGCCCACCTGCGTGAGCAGCATGAAGGCATTGTCTGCCCGCAGGTTCTTCTTGAGGAACTCCACGCAGTGGGCCTCCAGCGCGGGCACCGCGTACTTCTTGGCTGTGTACAGCGTGGTCATGACCGTCTCAGGCCCGATCTGCACCTCATCTGAGTACAGGAACCTGAGGAGGTGGACACAGCAGCCATGGCGACGGCTCAGGTGCCCCTCGACCTTCAGACCCAGGTGCCGGCCCTCAGGTAGGCAGGGTCTGGCCACCCTGGCTCACCAGCCAGAAGGCTTCTTCCGGAACCTTCCAGAATGGGCACTGGGCAGCAGTTTGTGACCTGGGGACACAGCCTGAGAGAGCTCCCTGCCGCTTACAGACCAAGGCTGCACAGTGCTCCTCTGGGGCTCCCCTCCCGGGCTGTCACCTCGGCCACTTCTGGTGAGTGACAGAACCCACAGGCCAGCCGGGTCCTGCGTGGCGTTGACATCACTTTGTCCACCACACCGAACGTGGACCAGAGTTGGGGTTGGTCGAAAAAGTGAAAGTGGGCTGGGGTGTGGCTCAGTGGTGAGCGCTTGCCCAGCCCAGGACAGGCCCTGGGTCCCAGCCTCAGTACCACCCAAAAACAAACAAATAAAGTACAGTTATATTCTTCAAAAAAGGCAAAAGTACTTGAACATGGCATGGGAAGTGACCCTCCACACCGGAGGCGGCAGGCCCCTCTCCAGGACAGAGGCAGGACCCTCTCAGACGCGGAGGACACAGCACTACCTACACGTGTCCTTGGAGGACAGCGTGGCCATGCACCCTGCAATGTCCTCAGCCAGCGCAGGAGCAAGGTGGAGGGACCCGAGGACCTGAGGCTCAGACACACAGGTCACAGTGTATGACCTGGTGACAGGAGGATCCAGGACAGGGGAGGGACAGGGGACTGCTCACGGGGGCCGGGTTACTTGATGGGAGACAGAAGGTTCTGGAACGAGATAGAATGCAGCGCTGCACACCTCTGAGCCCACGGCTAACCCTGAACAGTGCAGGGGGACACCAACCCCACAGGGTCGGAACCAGACTGTGACTTTCTCTTTTGGTGCTGGGGACTGAAGCCAGAGTGCTCCATCCCTGAGCCACACCCGAGACCTCCTCACTTTCCATCTGGAGACAGGGCCTTGCCAGGCTGCCCAGGCTGGCCTGGGACTTGCTGTCCCCCCCTCGGCCCCCCAGGGGCTGGGCACACGGAGTCCCCACAAGCGGGCAGCCTCCTTGTTCACAGTCCTCAGCTGCTAATGGCATGGCGCAGGGCCCGGCTGCAGAGAGGGGTGAGGAGCTCCAACTGTGACCTCGGTCTGCGTCTCTGGAGCGCAAATGAGACCCCATGCCCTGTGTCCCGTGGAGCTGCCAGAGAACCCATGATGACCAGGCCAACGGGAGGCAAGGCTCCCCAGGGTCTGGGGCTGCTTCAGCTGAAAAAGCCCAACCCCCCGGGGGACAGGGACGGGCGCCCGGTGGCCAGCACCTGTGGGCACACATGCAGCCCGGCTCACCCCAGCACTGCAAAAATTGAAGGTAAAAAACCTAAAAAAACTTATGGGGGGTTCTCCAGAGCCCAGCCCACCCACCCCGGGGCACGGGCTCTACAGCTGCTCCTACCCGGTCTGCGTCCTGACTCTGCGTCCTGCCCACACCTCCAAGAAGGGCCCGGAAGCTTACTTGAGCAGCGCCAGGAACGCGGCCGGCTCCACGTCGGGCAGCTCGATCTCCGTGGAGGTGGTGGCCATTCCCCCGTTGAACATGGCGTCAAAGACAGCGCTGCCTACAGCTAACACGAACCTGGGCATGAGAGAGAGCGCCCGTGAGCCACTTGTGTCTCCGGCCGGGCCCTGGCCCCTGGCCCTGGTTGTGGCCACTCTGCTGGGGACCTCTGGGGCCCCCACCTGTCCATCCCCTACTCACTCCTGCACCCGTTGAAGGCTCCTTGTCCAGGCTATAGGCTAGACATGGGGACCTGGCCACAGACAGGCAGAGAGGACAAGTGGCTGGTCAGCCTGAGCTGGCAGAACACGGGAGGCTGGAGCCAGGTGCAGCAGGGGAAGGGCCTTCAGGGGGCAGGACAGGCGGGGCCAGGCTGCCAGGTGACCCCCTAGCTCTGTGAAAGCAGAGGAGCCACCCAGCTGGTGTGGCCTGTGTGGGGCTGGAGGAGGCCTCCATGGTGACAGACAGGACGGCTCTGCTGGGTCCTGGGCAGGGTCTCTTGGGAGGCCCCACCAGGGCTCCTGGGAGGTGGAGCTGAGAGCTGGGGCTGGGGGACAGGCACACAGCTTCCCCACGGTCCCTGGGAACAGGAAGCCCCTACGTCAGCTCCCCCCAGGTGGGTCACACTGCGCACAGGCAGGCTCTGAGCACCCAGCACCCACACCCTCCCAGTGGGCGGAGCACCAGCTCCAGGTGGACCCAGGCCCTCCCTGCTCCCGGGCAGCCTGCTCCTCCCTCCCTGCCCCAGGTCTCCACCGGGGGGGCTCCACCAGGCCCCTGCTACCTCATGTACACAGTCATGCTGCAGCGGGTGGCCCTGGCCCACACCTCACTTCCACAAAGAGCCTCTTGGCCTCCCACAGGGGGAGCTGACAACCAGGAAGCCAAAGGCAGAAACCAAGTGGTGCCTGCTGGGCTGGTGTGGCCCCCCAGCCCAGGGCCACCTGACAAGGCAGTGGGGGCAGTGCCCTGCGGGGCCCACAGCAGCACCTGACCCTCCCCAGGGTGGCCGCTCCACCCCACACTCTGTCCAGGCACCCCGGCAACCTTTAGCCTGGACACCTCCGCAGGTCCACAGTGCGTCCCCAGCCCCTCCCGGCCAGGCTCCTCCTCCCAGAAGAGCAGAGTGGCAGAGCCCTCGGGAGGCCCTGGGTTCCATCCTTGGCACCATGTAAAAATAAGTAAGTGAAGGGCTGGGGATGTGGCTCACGCCGTAGTGCGCTCGCCTGGCATGCGCGGGGCGCTGGGTTCGATCCTCAGCACCACACACAAATAAAATAAAGATGTGTCCACCAAAAACTGAAAAATAAATATCAAAAAATTCTCTCTCTCTCTGATAAATAAATAAGTGAAATAAAGGTGTTGTGTCCACCCACACTAAACACACACACACACCACGCCAGGGTGTGGGACAGCCCACAGCACCACCAGCGAGCAGCCCAGGCGTCCGACAACAAGGGAAGGCCCCCAGCGTGGCCACGCACCCCTGGAGCAAGAGTGCAGATGGACCTGAGGACCTGTGCTCAGTGAGAGCCAGACACACAAGGCCACAGCCTGTGACCCAGAGACAGCAGAGTCCAGGATAGCAGCGTCCAGGGATGGACGTGGGTCATGCATGCAGGACTGGGGAGGGGACAGAAGTCAGTGCTCAGTGGGGACCGATTTCAGTCTGGGACATGAGGAAGCCCTGGAGGTGAACAGCGGGTGCCCCGAGTGCGGCTGAGGTGCACAAGGTCACCTTAGCACAGTCACTTATTTTTGGTACTGGGACTGGAGCAGGGGTGCTTCAGCACTCAGTGTGCCCCCACCCCGCACTCCTTTTTATTTTTTGAGACAGGGTCTCACTAAGCTGCCGAGGCTGGCTTCAAACGGGCCCTCTTCCTCCACCACCTCCTGGTCCCTGGAGTTACCCCAGCACCACTCCTGGCCTTGACATCAGTCAGAAGCTAAAAACAACGAAAATGGTGAACCACTCTGAGAAGAAGCCCCGGGCTCCCTTGGAAAGCAAGGCAGAAGACCAAAAGTGGGGCTGGGTGGTGGCTCAGGGGCGGGGCCTCGCCTGGCACGTGGGAGGCCCTGGGAAGGACTAGTGTCCAACTACAACTGAAAAATAAATAAATAAAAATAAAATGAAAGACCACAAGTACTGCACCCAAACCCGAGCCCATCCCCAGCACCGCTCGCACGCTCACTCGGCCAACAGGAGTCCCTAGGACGCCCGACATGACACCAGCAACCAACTGCACCACAGTTCTGAGCGGGAAGTCAGGGGCTCCCTCAAGTGGAACCAGGGTGGGACACCTCGGAATGGGCACGTGCAGCCAGAACAGCACCGGGAAGCCGATCTGCACACTGTCCAGCCCGGGAAGGGGTGGCAGCGTCCACCAAAACCTAAAGAATGAAGAGCAGGCAAACGCAAAGAAGGAAACAGCCAGTCCGCTCAGAGCAGACACAGTGAGGTGGGGACCAAGAGGGGACCCCCAAAACCAAGGGCTGCTCTTCAAAAGAGTCCAACAGGGCCGGGCTGGGGCTCAGGGGTGCGCGCTCGCCTGGCAGGCATGAGGCACTGGGTTCCAGCCTCAGACCACATGAAGACACTAAAGACCATCAACAGCTGAAACAAGATAAAAAAAAAAAAAAACCTCCAATCAACGCTGGACGTTTGGTAGAGGGATCACGACCAAGAGCGAAGACGGAAGCTACACAGCCGCGAATAAAAGGGGGCGTGTCACCATGAGCCTCAGTGCACTTAGGAGGAACAACTCTGGGCTGACCAGGAAGGCCACGGGCATGGGAGGCCACTACTCAAAAGGACACAGAGAAAGTCCAGATGAGCTTGTCACCAGAGCCCAGCGAGACTTCAAATCCTCCCCAAAGAGAAGTGGGTGGCTGGGGACCCAAGGGCCCTGGGAGGCTCAGCACAGCCAAGGCTGAGGGCGCTGGCTGCAGGGCCTGCACTGGACCTGCGAAGCCCCTCCGGGAAGATGCTCTCTCAGGGCTTCTGCGTCCTCCGGTTCTGGGTGGATTTTTTTTCTTTGGTGCTGGGACTGAGCCCAGGGCACTCTGCCACTGAGCTATGTCCAAAGCCCTTTTCGCTTGAGAGAGGGCCTCGCAGGGCCACCTAGGCTGGCCTGGAGCGTCCAGCTGTCTCACCCCAGCCTCCAAGCTGCTGGGAAGGCAGGCGAGGCCTCCGCACTGGGCAGCAGTTTCTCTTAAAATGTGAAACATAAATCCTCCTGGGATGCACCAGCCCTTCCACTGAGGTGCTGACCAAGAGGAAGGGCCAGGTAAGCCCCGAGTAGAACTGGGAAGGCCCGTGACAACCGGTGGCAAACCATGGGCCGTCCCTTTGAATTCAGCAGCAGAATTCGATTTATCGCCACTTTAGCAATAAAAAGAAACAGAACTGAAGCAAGGAGGTCCCAAGGCACGACGGGAGCTCAAAGCCGACCACAGCGCACAGCCGACCACTCACATTGCTAGCCCTCGGCGACGGCCTGGCTGGGGGAACAAGAAACCTGAGGGTGGCCTGAGGGCTCCAAAACCAGCCCACCGGGACGGTCACCCGTGTCCACTTTCTACAGAGCCGACTACCCAACAAAGACTCCAAACACCAGAAGCAAAGGCCCTTGACGACACCAGGCTCCAGACTCAGTGACAAGTGGGAGCCTCCTACGTGCTAAGGGCACTAGTCAGAAGCCAGCACCCACCACGACGCTCAGCTGTGAAGAGAGGCCACCAGCCTGGGAGGCGGCCCACCCGTCACCCCAGCTGCTCCGGAGGCAGACGCAAGTTCAAGTCCAGCCTGGGAAACTAGAGGCCCCACCTCAAAATGAAAAGGGCCGGGGCTGGGCCACAGCTCAGAGGGCAGAGGGCTCGCCCCACATGCACACGGCTCGGGCTTCCTCCCCAGCTCCCCCCCAAAAGAAGTCTTGACAAAGATAAAATAGGAGGCATCTGCTCTGCCCAGCACCCCGTGATGGCCACCGAGGAACAGGCAGGACGGGAGCCCACCTTTCCGCCCTGCAGTGCATACGAACTGCTGCCCTGAGCCCCAGCAGGTCAGCATCGACTGAGCACCTACTGTGTGCGGGCCTCAGGAGCAGGGCTGCACTGACCACGCACAACTGACGCCACACAGGGCCTGGCCTCTCCGTCAGAGCCTCGTGCTACCATCACGGTGCTGGGGCCACACTGTGGCTGGGCCCTGGGAGGAGGGTGGCCTGGCACCACCTCTGAAGCCAGCCAGGCCCACCAGCTGCAGCTTTCCCCGCTGAAGCCCCCGCTGCGCTCCCACACACCAGCTCCCCTGGCTCCTCTCTCTGCCCAGGACCCGTCCAGGGTCCCACGGTCATCGTGCCTCCTCCCGCAGACTTTGGCTTGGTGACAGTCCCCAGGCCTGGCCCAGTGTCCTGCAGGGCATCCTCAGCACTTGCGTTTTCTTGCGACTACACTGGGCCTGCTGGGTTCTTCCAGCTGCCTTAGAAATGACCACACAGGGGCTGGGCTGGGCTCAGCGGTGGACGCTCACCTCGCACGTGCGAGACCCTGGGTTCCATCCTCAGCACCACAGACAAAAATAAACAAGTGACATAAAGGTGTTGTGTCCAACTACGGCTAAAAAAATAAATAAATATTAAAAAAGAAAGAAATGACCACACACGTGGCTTAAAACCACAGGAGTCTACCCCTCAGTCCTGCAGGCCACAGCCTGGGGCTGAGGTGTGGGCAGGGCTGCCCTCTCCACGGGCCCCGTGGTCACAGGGCTGCCTCCTGTGTCTTCCGGCTCATAAGGACACTTTTCACTGGATTTGGGGCCCACCTGGGGAACCCAGGGTGATTTCACCACCTGGAGAGACCCTTTCCCAAGCCAGGTCCCATTCACAGGTCCCAGGAATGAGGATGCAGGCACCCGGGCCTCCATCCAACCCAGGGGCTATGGTTCCAGGAGGAACAGAGAGGAGGCACCTCATCATACCTATCAGGACACCGTGTGGTGGTCCCGTCCAGGTGGCACAGGTGGGCCCCAGGGTTCCAGCCCTCAGTTACCACCCTCCCTTCCCACTCTCCTCTTTTCGAGGTACTAGAGACTGAACCCCGGGCACTACCACTGAGCTGCACCCCAGCCCTTTTATTTTTTGAGACAGGTCTCACTAAGCTGCCCAGACTGGCCTGGAACCTGCCATCCTCTGCCCCGGCCTCCAGAGCCACTGAGTTGGCAGTGGGTCCCCACACCCGCCCGGAGGCAGGGAACTCGGGATCTGGGAGCAAACCCCCAGACTCCAGCATCCCTGAGGGAAGACAGGGCTCCTGCTCCCCAGAGCAGCAACTGCTGGGCTTCCATCAGCACGGACTGGCCTTCAGCCGGGTCTGTGCCCACACGGGGAACGAGGCTAGGAGCCCCACCAGGGCCCCACTACGGCCCTCACCAGGTTCAAGCCGACCCTGCTCCCTCCCAAGCAGCGTCCCCAGAGGTCACGAGACCCCTGCGCAGCCTCCCACATTCCCTCACCCTGCCCTGCCGCGGGGATGCAGAGGAGGGGAACCCGCCATGTCCATCTCTGCCCCTCCTCCGCAGCCACTCCACATTTCAGTGGACGGGGCTCACCAGACCCCGGGAGCTGTCCCCTGCCCTGACTTGCCCAGTTCCTCTGGCCTCTAAGCCTGCACATTCCTGCACCTGGAGCCCTGTGCGCCCCTCCCAGGTTCACCACCCTGGCAGCCACAGACTCCTCCCAATTCTCTCTGGAGGTCCTTACACCCACCTCTATAGCCCTCACTTTGCCACAAACCTATGAACCCCCAAATCCAATCAGGTACAGGTGCCCAGATAGGTCAGCATGAGATAGGGGCACAAGCACCCTCAAACAGAAACCCTGGGACTGAGGCCAAGGCAGGAGGATCACAGGTTGGAGGCCAGCCTCAACAACTTAGCGAGACCCTGTCTCAAAATAAAAAATAAAAAGGGCTGGGGACGTAGCTGAGTAGTTAAGCATCCCCTAGGTTCAATCCCCAGAGCCAAAAAGATAAAAATATAAAAAGAAAAAGAAACCCTGAGTGTGAGTCTCCAATTCCTTGTGCAAATGGGCAGGAGCCCTGCCCTACCCTGCAAGGGCGCATGGTCAGGAAGGAGAAGGTGGCATCCTTAGAGACAAATGCTCAGAATCCGACCCACTGTCAGGGCCAGATGGCTATGAGGAGGCTGCCGGACAAGCAACGAAGGCGTCACAGGCCACAAACTGACCAGCCTCTCGCTCCAAGCTTGTGGGGAAGGAGAGAGGCCCAGTCCCTGCTGCAGTCAGAGCGGAAGCCTGCGATACAGACAGGGAAGGTCCTGGGGACCCTCCATGAACAAGGCCTCTGGGAAAAACCCAGAGGGGACCAGATGCACAGCAATACCCAGGAAGAGGTAGCAAGAGGGGTCTCTAGGGCACAGGACCAGAACAAGCCACAGGCCAGAGAGGTGTGGAGGGCTCACTGCAAGGCTGGGACAACATTCCAGGCCAAGCACCTAGGCCCCCCAGCCGAACCCCCCCACCCTGCAAAATGAGGAGGGCCCAGGAGCCCACAGTGGGGGGCACCTAGGGGCTGCACCCCAGACCAATACCTCCTTTTCCAGAAAGGAGACCTGCAGATACAGAGAGTCCAGGACAGGTAGAGGGTGTCCAAGAGCTTGGGCCTGGAGGTGGACCTCAGCTGAATGGGGAGGGAGGGGATGGCAGTTGTGGGGTCCTGAGGTAGAGGAGATGGGTGCAGGGAGATTTCAGGACAACCAGGGCCAAAGTTGGAGGGGATTGCAGGCACAGAGGCGGGCTAGAGATGGCGGGGATATTTGGGAGTATCAAAGGTAGCAGGCCCCAGGCTCAGAAGGTTCCCAAGGCAGGTCCCAATGCAGGAGCTGGGCAGGAGGATGCGGGGGCTCCTGGCGCAGGGCAACACGAGGATCTGAGGACTGAGGAGTGCAGGGGTTCCGGGGCAGGCTGTGGCACAGGGCCTGGGCAAGGAATGGGGTCTTGGGTGCAGGGGTCCAGGTTCAGGTCCTAGACAACGGCTGGGGACGTCGGGAGGATAGTGGGTCCAGAGCCTCAACCTAGTGGTGCAGGGATTCCTGGACCGGCTCTGGAGCAAAGCCTGGATGAAAGGTGCAGGGGTCCCGGCCGGCGGTGGAGACCCGGGGATGCAGGGGTCCTGGGGGTGCAGGGTTCCCGGACGGCGGTGGGGGCCCGGGGGTGCAGGGGTCCCGGAGCTCCGGCGCTGGGCCCGGCGCCCTCGGTGTGCAGGCCCGGCCGCGGCGCCCACCTGTGCGCAGGGATGCGCTGCGAGCTGAGCCCCTTGCCCACCAGGAAGTGCACGTCGCACAGCACCTCGTTGTTGAAGAGGAAGGCGAAGCGCTCCTGCACGGTGGGCTTGGTGGCCTGCCAGTTGTACACCGGCTCGCGCAGCAGCGCGGCCCCCGCGCCCGGGCCCGCCGCCTCCTCGCGCTCCGCGCCCGCGGCCTGCGCGTCCGCCCCGGGGCCCGGCAGCGGCGGCGGGGGCGGCCCGGGCGCGGCGGCGGCGGCAGCAGCATTGCCGGGGGCCGGGGCCGCCGCGTTGGCGCTGGGCCCGGGGCCGCCCCCCGCGCCCGGGCCGACCCCCGGCGGGCACGACGCGCGCCCGCCGCTGCCACCCGCCGCCATCTTGTCGCTGCGGCGCGGGGGAGGGGCGGGAGGGCGGGGAGCAGGGGAGGGGAGGGGATAGAGGCGGGGCGGTGGGAGGGGCGGGGCTGAGGAGATGGGAGGGAGGGGCGGGAGGGGGAGGGGGAGGGGAGGAGAAGGCGCGAGAGAAAGACGCGCGGCGCGGGAGGGCGGGGAGGGGCGGGGCCGAGGAGGTGAGAGGGCGGGGCGGTGGGAGGGCGGGGCTGAGGAGATGGGAGGGAGGGGCGGGAGGGAGAGAGGGAGGGAGGGGCGGGAGGGAGAGAGGGAGGGGCGGGAGGGGGAGGGGAGGGGCGGGAGGGGGAGGGGAGGGGCGGGAGGGGGAGGGGAGGGGCGGGAGGGGGAGGGGGAGGCCGAGAGAAAGACGCGGGGAGCAGGGGCGGGGCGTGGGCGGAAGCCAGGGTGCGAGGGACGGCTTAGGACTCTGGCTGGGAACCCAGAGGCTGTCTCCAGGTCTCACCCCAGACTCTGGATCCTGTCCCCAGAACCTAGATGGCCCCCGGACCAAGGATCAGAGCCAGGACCTAAGAGCTCAGACCCGGGACTCCACACCTTGCATCCCAGACTGGGCCCACAGGCCCCAGATCCTGGACCCTGGACCTTGGACATCAAGTCACAGACTTTCCAGATTTTCAGGGACATCAGACTGGAATCCTTGGGCCCAAATTCCAGACGTGGGATCCTAAACCCTGGGCCACCGTCCAAGATTCTGAACCCAGGACGTTCATATCTCAGACTCCAAATTCCAAATCCCACTTTGGAGACCCAGAGGCCAGTCCCTGAACCCGGCACCCTGACCCCAGACCCAAGTGGCCTGCCTGTGGTGTGGAAAGGACTCTGCTGCTCCAGGGGAAACTGAGGCCCAGGGAAGCCGACAGGGATGGGGGTGCTCTGTGCATGCTACAGATGGCTACACAGTGTCCCCCTCCAGCCACATCTAGGGCCCAGGGTAGATGAAGGTGGGACCCGTGAGCACTAACCACATCCACAGTTCAAGGTGCAGGCTTGGAGGGCACAGAAGGGGCTCCCAGAGCAAGCTGCTGGACCCCCAGGACTTTGCCCCACCCAGGAGGCACGTGAGTCAGCTGGAGCCCCACAGTGCCCTGGGCAGCCTGAGGTGCCATGGGCAGAGGAGAAGGTCAGTGCTGTCCCATCCCCATAGGGGCTGGGGTGACCACCTCCTGTCCCTACCTGTGAGTGCCCCCTGACCACTTGGCACCTCATGAGTAGTGGGAGACCCCACCCTCAGGGTCTTGTCCTGCACACTCACATGGACAAGGGAACTGACCATGACACACAGGGAGCCGCCAGCCCACATTCCACCCTGAGGTCCACCATGCTCCTGTGCAGGCCTCATCCAGTCCTTCGCCTCCAAGCAGATCAGGACTGGGCTTCCCAGGGTGACCTCACTCCCAGCTCGGCTGCCCCGCCTTGAGCTTCAGAGTAGCTTTTCTAGAGGTGCTGCAGTTTGCAGTGCTAGGGAGGCACCTGGTCTGTAGTTTTTGAGTAGGGGGCGTGTTTTCATTCTGTACTGACCCCACAAATTCCACAGAGCTCCCCATCCCCCTCCTTCTCGGCCTGCTGGTGAAGGACCTGAAGCCCCACAGCTTGCACTTTCTCAGCTTATCATTCTGTTTAGAATCCATTCTCCAAGTGTCCAGCAGGAGGTTTCTTGGAGCATCTGTTTGCAGTCCTCTAGGGGCCACTCTTGGGTTGTTCTTTGTTGCTGAGGGACTCACTAAATCACGAAGGCTGGCCTTGAACTTGCAATCCTCCTGCCTCAGCCTCCCGAGTTGCTGGGGTTACAGAAGTGCACCATTGTGCCCAGCTATCAGGGATCTCTTGGATAGAAACCATCCCCCTGTGCTGGGGACAACCTCCATCTGCTTCCATAGAGGAAGCCCTGATCTGGCTCTGTCTTCCAGAACATTTTCCCATCATCCTCTGCAGCTGGGTTTTACGGAGTCCGGCCCACCACCTCACAACCTCTGGCTTAGGAACAGAAATTTGCTTGAGGCCTGACCATAAACCTTTACCACCACAAACAAAGGCCTGGAGACAAAATGTTTTTAATTTGTTTCATTTTTAAATTAACTTATTTTTCTGTTGCAGGGACAGGATGTAGTGTAGGGCTTCCTGTCTGCTAGGCAAGCACTCCACCACTAAGGCGCGCCCCCAGCCCAAAGCCTATTTTATTTTTTCACTCTGAACCTATGAACAATAAAGGAGTAGTTGTGGAAACCCCGAAGGTCAGAAACACTGGTGGAGACACATGGATCACAGAGCCGGCAGCCCTGGTCATTTCCAAGTCCCTTTTGTACGCTCTGTGAGAACCCTAGCTGTTTTCCCAGGGGCCACGCCTGGGGCCCCAGCTGCTGGGGAAGCTGAGGCGGGAGGCCCCAGGCCAGCCTGGGAAACTTGGCGACCCTCTGACTCAAAATCTAAAAGTGAAAAGGGCGGGTGTGTGTGTGTGTGTGTGTCGGTCAGTGGGAGAGCCCTTGGGGTCAAATCCCCAGGACCAGAAAGGAAGGAACCCACCGAGGGGTGGGAGGGAGGAGAGGGAAACCCTGGCTCCCAGACCCTCCGGCCCTGTGCTGCCCCGGCCATCTCAGGCCCACTGCCTGCAGTTGTGAACACAGCTTCATGGACCCTGCTGTGCCCATTCCTGTCCTCTGTGCCTCTTCTCCCCATGACCTGCGGAGGGGAGCTCGGGTAAGGCCAAACAGGTGCTCTGTGTGGCTTATTTTTTCTTTAGCTTTTTTTTTTTGGTATTGGGGTGCAAACCAGGCGGTGTTCTACCTTTGAGCCAAATCCCCAGTTCTTTTTGATTTTTTTGTTTTTATTCTGTTTTGAGATAGGCTGTCACTAAGGTGCCCAGGCTGGCCTCAAACATGCTGTTCCTGTCTCAGCCTCCACCCCAGGTTGCTGCCACCATGCCCAGCCTCTGACTTTCTATAAAAAATGTCTGCCCCCCCCCCTGCTCTGTTAATCTCTCCTTAAATTCTTAGCCTCTGACCCCAAATATAATTTTGTTTTTTTATTATTTGTTGAGTCATGTAAGTTTATTTATTTGTTGATTTATTTTCTTTATTTTTTAATCTCAACACAGGGTCTGGCTAAGTTGCCCAGCTAACCTGAAATTGTGACCCTCTGGCCTGAGCTTCCTGAGTCTCTGGGGTTGCCCACGTGGGCCACGGAGCCGGGCCGGGTCTTTCTGAAGTGTTCAGTTATAACTTGTGTCATTTCTTCCTTCTTTTATCTTTCAACGTAAGGTGTAAGTCTGGGTCAGACTACCAATATCCAGAGTCAGAAATACCCCCTGGCTGGAGAGAAAGGGCTAAGATGCAGCAGCCCCCGGTGAGGGTGAGCAGCCCACGGGCTCACTGGCCAGTCCCGGGCAGGGTCAGGAGGATGAGGGCAGTCCTGGGGTGGCCTGGGGTTGGGGGCTCCTTGCCTTCCATGCCTGCAGGCTGCTCTAGCTCTCGGCCTTTGTTCTGAGAGCTGATAAATGTCCTGTGTCAAGCAGACCGGCTAGCTTTTCCATCACTTGTGGCCACATGCACGCGACTGCTGCGGCTGACCCTGGTGGCCACCTCCCAGTGCCTTCCGTTAGTGATCTTTGTCCCAACAGTGCCAGCGAAGGCCAGTGCTGTGTGGCTGACATTTATACAAGCAGCCGCCTGACAGTGTTTCTCTGGCCTAATGGCACAGGATGCACCAGAGAAAGATGAGGCTCTGCTGGGGCTGGGAGCCAGGAGCTGACTGGGAAGGGACGGGGAGTGTGTATGAGTTTCATGTGGCTGCTGTAACACACAAAGACAGGGGCGTAAAGCAACACACAGCTGCCCTTGCATAGTGTGGAGGCCAGAGGTCCAACATGGGCCTCCCTGGGCTAAATCTTGGTTCCTCCTGATGCCACAGGGCGGCCTCCTCCAGCTCCCGGGGCCCTGCAGCCCTTGGGTCCAGCCCCCTCCCCCAGCCCCAGGGCCAGCAGCACAATGCCTTTCAGGCTCTTAGACTCTGACCCTCCTGCCTCCTCTCATGAGGACCCTGTGGTGACACAAGGCCCCAATGACCCAGAATGACTCCTCCATCTGAAAATTCCTAAATCAATCTGTTCTGCAAAGTCCCTTCTGCTGTGTAGGCCCTGAGCTCGGAGTTGGACACCTCGGGGGTGTTACTCTGTCCACCACAGGGAGACCGCGAGTTCTGTGTCCTGAGGGACCTTTCTGGGACACAGTTGTGTCTGCTTGGAAACTCAGCCGTGTTCACTGAAGATCTGTGCAAATCCTTGTCTGAAATTTTACTTTCAAAGAAAAAAATTCATCCCTCAGCTGTGTGACAGCTGGCTTCAAAAAAGCCCTTCTCAGTGGGATGGCGGTCCTCCTTCCTGTTGTCTGCTGGGAGGGTTTTGTGTTGTTAAAAGATTTTTTGCAGTAACTTTAACCTCATTTCTGGGCTCCCTGAATGTTCCTTTCTTCCAGCCTTCTTGTCCATCTTTTAAAAGAATCGCTTGTCTTTCTGATTTATGTGTAGAGTGATTATTTAAGAAACAAACAAACAGAAAGGCTGATGCAGCGGCCACGCCTGTCATCCCAGCAGCTCAGGAGGCTGAGGCAGGGGGATCTCGAGTTCAAAGCCAGCCTCAGCGACTTAGCAAGGCCCTAAGCAACTCAGTGAGACCCTGTCTTAAAATAGAAAACAAAAAGGGCTGGGGAGGTGGCTCAGTGGTTAAGCACCCCGGGCTCAATCAGTCCCCCATACCAAAAAAGAAAAGAAAAGAAAGAGGAAAGACGCTGGGCACAGAGTCCATGCCTGTGGTCCCAGCAGCCCAGGAGGCTGAGGCAGCAGGAGGATCTCAAGTTGGAGGCCAGCCTTGTAAACTTGGCGAGGCTCTCAAAATAAAGGGCTGGGGGCCTGGGGTTGAGGCTCAGTGGTGGAGCCCTTGCTAGCACGGGTGAGGCACTGGGTCCGATCCTCAGCAC